CAGAGGCAGAGAGGGGGCCAGGGCCCTCCAACATTTATCAGCTGCCTTCGGAGTCAGAGATTAGTGGGGCAGACGAACAGCTGGAGCCTGTTCCCAGTGTGCGCATGTGCAGAGTTGTCAGAGGAAGGGAACAGCTAAAGAACAAGGGTAGACTTGGGAGTAAGGGCACAGGTGAACGATGAATGGCCCCTCCCAGAGAAAATAAAAGAGGGAAAGGGGAGTGGAGTTTCCTGGATACAATTAGTTTGCTTAATTGACTCGTGATTCTCCGGGACTCCTTGCCAAGTTTTGCAGATATTGGCCTGGCAGCTCTCCAAGCCAGATAAGATCTGTGACTGTAAATCCTCCCTTGAAAGACTTTGCTGGATGTGAATGAGCAGAATTCACAGTAAATGAATAAAAAGGGTTTTTATAGGGACAAGGAGTTTGCTTCATGCTCTCAGGAAGCCTGGGTCAGAACAGCATCAGGGAAGGCTGCTTTTCACCACAGGTGAATGGCCCCTCCCAGAGGAAATAAAAGAGGAGCGAAAGGGGAGGGGAGTTTCCAGGAGACAATTAGTTCATTCCTGCATTCTTGTATTCCATCGTCTGAAAGATATCGGCCTGGCCACTCTCCAAGCCTGATAAAGGTCGATAATTGTGAACTCCCTTGAAAGACTGTGGCAAAGACTTTGCTGGAGAGGAATTCACCATAAATTAAATAAAAGGGGTTTATCGGGACGAAGACTCAGCTTCGTGCTGCTGGGGAAGGAACTAGGTAGGTATTGGCTTCTCCTGGTATGGCTAGTGGGCCACGTTTTGCTCGCCTATAATGGGTCTTTATGTCTTGGCAGAAAAACAGAATGATCTTGAGACAGTTGCAGTAAGAAACACTAGGTACAGCCACTGGATCTCCTCCCCTGGGATCTGCTAATCTTCGGTGTCCCTGTGATCAATCCCCCAGGTTGTGTACGCCAAGGAGTGTCCGCTGGCAGCTGCCAAGGCCATCCAAGGCCTCCGAGCGGTATTTGACGAGACCTACCCAGATCCTGTACGCGTTGTCTCCATTGGCATCCCAGTTGACGACATGCTGAATGATCCCTCCAGCGCAGCAGGTGCCGTCACATCAGTCGAGTTCTGCGGGGGCACGTGAGTACATCGGAGTCGCAGGGAAAAACAAACCCTTTGCATCGGGAAACCCAAAACAAATCATGCATTATCTAGCACCGGGATGGCAAACCTACAGCACATGTGCCACAGGTGGCACGCGTAGCCATTGTCAGCCATTTGTCAGGGCACGCGAGGCGTTGACTGACTTCAGACTTTTTTTGAGGCCATTTTTTACCCTCCCCAGGCTCCAGAGGCTATATAGGAGCCTGGGGAGGGTGAAAATAACCTCCACCGCCCCTCTGGAGGCTTCAGGGGCTTCCATGAAGCCTCTGAAGCGCAAAAAATCCGGCCCTACGGACAAATCGGAAGTTCAGAAACGGACTTCCGGTTTGCTTGTAGCATCTGTTTTAGCCCTCCGGGGCCTTCTGGAGGCTTCCCTGAAGGCCGTTTTTCATCCTCAGGAGCCTTCAGGGACCTTCAGGCGGCTTCCCTGAAGGCTCCGGAGGATGAAAAACGGCCTTCAGGGAAGCCTCCGGAAGCCTCCTGAAGGTCCCTGAAGACTCCGGAGGACTAAAAACAGCCCTACGGACAAACTGGAAGTGACTTCCGGTTTGCTAGTAGGGTTGTTTTTTGCCCTCTAGAGCCTTCAGGGAAGCTTCCGGAAGGCCCCGGAAGGCTCCAGAGGGCTAAAACCGGACCTACGAGCAAACCAGATGTCTGTTCCCGAACTTCCTGTTTAGGGCCAGTTTTTTGCGCTCCGGAGGCTTTAGGGAAGCGCCTGAAGCCTCCTGAGGGCCTCCGGGGGGGGGGAGGAGGTTGTTTTCGCCCTCCCCAGGCTCCTATAAAGCTTCTGGAGCCTGGGAAGGGTGAAAAAAGCATGCAAAAAATGAGGGGGGGAGAACGCTGGCTATGCAGCATGCACGCTGGGTTCGTGCATTGAATTATGGGCATGACACACTCGCGCACGACCCCCCTGCGCTCTCCCCGCTTTTGGCATGCGAGCCAAAAAATGTTCGCCATCACTGACCTAGCAGATTAGGTCTTCCAATCCAGACATGCGTTCATTTGCTGAGATGAGAGATATTAAAAACTCTTAACTTGCCTTCTGTAGGGATTCTCAGTCATCCAGGTCATGGTTGTCCCAAAGGTGCTTTTCCAGGAGGCAACCTGAGTAGGAATGGATTTCCATAGAGAGAGAAATTGCAGAGTNAGCCGGTTTGAGAGGGGTGCATCTATAGGGTAATGTGATTTATGACACAGATGAGTGGAGGGAAGGAACACGGGGAAAGTTCAGAAGTAAATCAAACAAAGCACAGGCTTGACTGCGAACAGATCTTGCCTAATGGCGCTCCTAATTAATTACTGGTTTTGTATTGAAAACGTGACTCGATAGTTATGAATCAATTAGGGCACCTTTAGGAAATCTGACACCCTGCACTCGCCTATTGCCCAGATCGCTTATGGACCCCAGCTGGCTGACTAGAATTGAGCCTGACTTTTTGGGATCCTTCCTTCCCTTGCAGATCCTCTCATATCCGGTAACCTCTCTCTTTACCTTTCAGCCAAGGCGAAGGCCCATTATGAGCAACCATACTGCCACCCACATCCTCAACTTCGCTTTGCGTTCTGTGCTGGGAGAAGCCGATCAGCGAGGATCCTTGGTGGCTCCGGACCGATTACGGTTTGACTTCACCGCCAAGGGAGCCATGTCGACCCAGGAAATCAAGAAGACAGAAGAGATTGTTAATGGGATGATTCAAGACGCCAAGGTACAGTGAGACGGAGTGCCAGTGTCCTTGTGTTGAATCCCTTTGGAATATAATTACTTCCCTGGGTTTCTGGATAACCAGTGGAAACTGGATTTCTCTATCCAGATGCGTATCAGGGTATACAAAGATAGGTCACTCTTTCTCTACCAATTGCTTATAGCAATAGACTTGTATACTGATTCACAGTGCTTTTACAGCCCTCTCTAAGCGGCTTACAGAGTCAGCCTCTTGCCCCCAACAATTTGGGTCTTCATTTTACTCACCTCGGAAGGGATGGAATGCTGAGTCAACCTTGAACCAGTCAGGATCGAACTCCTGGCACTGGGCAGAGTTAGCCTGCAATGCTGCATTCTAACCACTGCAGCCCCACAGCTCTTAACGCCCAAAATTTTATCCCATTCTTTTACGTATTAAAACCAACCAAGTCCATTTATTGCATGGACACGGCTGCTAGGTTTCTGGCCCGATTCTAACTTTTCTTGGGGTCATTCTATAGAGTTGAGATTAAGAAGCTGCTCACCTGCCTAAAGGAAATTAAACTGAGGCCCATTGTTGTGGCCCGCCAGTGGCCCGCAGAGCTGGCAGCAGATTCAGACAGTGAGGAGGTTGGGGAGGAACATGGGCCAGTCCTGGAGTCTGGGGAAGGCTCTGATGAGGGCTCTGTGTCNAAAAGAGGGTTTGACATGATTTCCCAGACAGACAACCTTGTGTTAGGATCATATTTCATTCGTACACACAATCACCCCACCCCAAAAAATATCTGGAATGGTTTATCGTCACTTCAGGAAACATGCTATGAATTTTCTGCTTTTAAATATAGTCTCCTTCCACAATACGTTCCCATGAATGTGGGATAGGAAAGATATTTTTCTTAAAGGGAAAAAAAAAAAGTGACACTGAAATACATGAAAGCATGCGCTCCTTAAAATTCTTGCCAATGAGCACGCCATAGTTTTGATTAACCTATTAGTACATTAGAAGAATATAGTATTAATCATGGGTAGTGAAACTTGGTAATGATTAACTAAATGTCGGTTCTTTATTATTGAGGCATAATCTTCCAACAAGGAATTAATAATCAAGATTTTATCAGTGCTAATAGAATTGTTGCTTGTGTCATTGTTTCTTTTTCATTCTCCTCCACCTCCTCCTCTTCCTCTTTGCTGTATACCTTCTCCTTCTCCCTTTCCCCTCCTTCTTCAATCTCCTTTCTTCTTCCCTCCCTTCACTTCACTTCCACTTTTTCTCCTTCCCTCCCCCTCCTCCCTTTCTCCTTCTCCCCTCCCCCTCCCCCTTCCCCTTGTCTTCCTTTCTCCTCCTCCTCCGTTCTATAATCCCCTTCACCTTCTTGTCTCCTTCTCCTGTCTACAGTATCTCCTCCTCCTCCTTCTCCTTCTCCATCTCCATCTCCTCCTCCTTTCTATAATCCTCTTCACCTTCTTGTCTCCTCCTCCTACTATCTACAGTATCTTCTCCTTCTCCACCTCTTTCTCCTCCTCCTCCTTCTCTTTCTCCTCCTCCTCCTCCTCCTTTCTATAATCCCCTTCACCTTCTTGCCTCCTCCTCCTCCTGTCTACAGCAGTGTTTTTCAACCACTGTGCCGCGGCACACTAGTGTGCCGTGACATAGTGTAAGGTGTGCCGTGGGAAATTACTTTATATATAGTCAATATAG